GCATAATATTTTCTTAAAATCTATATTTTGTTAGTGCCAACCAGCTTATAATTTTTAAAAACAAATTCATAATCAAAATCGCTGGTTAGTTGTTAGCGAAAATAACGGTTGATTTGCTAAGTCAAAACTTAAAATGTTACTACCGAATTTTTTTGATTGCCATCGACGTTATAGAAGAGGGTCTTAAAGAAATTGCTTAACGAATGGTTCCGCCATGGAGGTAGGAAGTAAGATGGAGTCGCCCTAAACAAGTTTCTCCGTACCCTGCTCTGAAGCACCGGCGATCCCTACGTGGTGACCAAAACATTGGGTCATTTACCATTGAGTTCTATGGGATTTGACGCGTTCGGGTGTAAATATTTTGTAATTACGTCGCAAATATACATATAAATGTATATATTTTCTTTTTCTACAACACTTCAGAGTCCTAAGTATGTGAAAACAACATATTTTTAAACAACATTTCATTCTGAACGGAATTAAATGCTATACTTTTCACAGGACAGTTTTCTCAGAATGGTTTAATTTGAATGAAATATTTTCACAAGTTTTCGTTAATTACATTAGAAAAAAAAATTAAGGTAATTCGATTTTATTCGGTTAAGGTACAAAAATTAAGATCAAAGTTTATTGTATTATTAATATTAAAATTATGCATTATTTCTTTTCTATTTATAGAGCTTCTTCCTAAAATACTTTCTTAAATATGACATGATTTTTTGGCTTCTTTTAAATCGAAAAATGTAATAATTAAATAGGTATTAAATAGTATTTGACTTTCTCTGAACATTTCTGAAAGGGAATAAAATAAGTTTTTTTTTTTTTTTAAGTATTATTTAAAACTTGTAACTGAGTTATTATAAAATGTAAAGGGAATAATTCTTTTAATTATACTTATCAGATTTTTTTTTTTTTACCCTTCATTTCAACAATACATATTCCAAAACTCTTTATTACGTTCTTAAGTGCGCATCTCATAGCATTTGCTTTACAATACCTTTTAACAGATTGCTTTCCAATACGAACAATTCTTGCTTAAATAGTTTTATAACGTATTTGTCAACAGGATTTCAATTTATGTTTACAATTCAATATTAAGGTTATTATATATTTAGATAACATTTATAATCATTATAAATTAGATACATTTAATCATTAGATTTCTTCACAGTACTTTCACAGTTGTTTATAAGTGAATAAATTCTTCATTTCAAATACATTTATAAATAATTTAATGAATATTTAAGTATTTTGTCAAAGGCAGATACATGCTTTTTGCAAGCACATGCATAAATACCCATACATATTTCCTATTTATCATTTCCGGCATGTGCAAATCTTTAATTTCTGTGCATTCACTATATTTTTCGTGTAAAGTAATTTACACTAATTTAGCATACACCCGAAAGTTTTACATAAAAAATATATATGAATATAATTTGAATGAAAATTATAAGTATTATTTTTAATACCCACTCAAAGGTCAGTTTTTCTTCAAAATTCCTCCACGATGGCATCTCTCTCTCTTTAGGCAGATAGCCCTTGCATGCGTTACTCTATTTAATAAAAACTTAATCTGACCTATGTGCCTAATTACAAATATTTTAACATACATAATTTTATATTTACATTTAGCCATAGCCATCAAGTTTCAAACTTTTCAAATCTTCTAGAAAATAAATTTTGGCAGATCTCTTTTAGCAATTTTCTTAAAATCTATATTTTTGTAGTGCAACAGCTTAGAATTTTATAAAACAAATTCATAATCAAAATCGCTGTTGTTAGTTATCGAAAAATAACCAAGATGTGATTTTTGCGTAAATGTCAGTAAACTATACAAATTGCTATTATCCATCACACTATGAATGTTTCTTTCATGCGAGTGTCCCTTTTTCGATTTCTATGGAACTGTCGTGTGTCGAAATACTATCAGAATCTTGTCAAGCGAGCTTCTGAATGTAAACAAAGAACACCCCGTCTGGTGACCCAAGCTTCAAAGCAGTGCTTCACTTCTAGCGCGGAATGGCCCCTCCTCCCTTTCCCACCTCCATGCGCGTTCTTCAGGGGTGGGATTGAGGGGTAACCTGTTTACAGGTCGAAAAAGTAGTTCTGCCAGTGATCAGCTGGGAGGGAGAAGTTTCGTTTTTGACCGCTATTCAATGCGGTATTTAAAGGCCTAAAAGTGACGCGTTGTTAAACGCCTGAGAAAGTTCCTTTTTAAAGGAAGAAAAGAAGCTAGTAATTTAAAAAATCTTTTTCAGTTTTAAGTCATTTCAAAAGTTAGAAAATATTTTAATTCAGTCCTTTTTGACTGTGATGTTTCTTATTAAAGAAACGTTAAAGGGGGTTCCTCGAGTTAATGCTGTGTGCATTAAAGAACTTTAGAGGCGGGGGGTTAAGGAACGAGAGGTAGTTATTCACGTGGCTGTCAGTATGCTCATATCTAGCCCGTTTAAATGGGAGAGCTGAATATTCCTGGTTAAGAACCGCTCTGGGTCTTTTCCGGGAAGAAGCAACAGCAGGATCGTATACGGGTAGCATATGAAGCACAGGATTAGCAACACGTTGAATATTTTTGAAAAATTTTTCCGAAAGTCGCTGTATATAGCGATTAATGGGCATAATTTTGAGGTCATTATGAATCTCTTCGTTCCGTACGAACCACGGAGCTTTTAAAATTTGCCGAAGCATTTTAGATTGAAAAATTTGGACATGTTTTCTGTTAGTCAGTGCAGATGGGCCCCATACGATGGACACGCATACGTAAGAACAGGCCTAATCATTGATTTGTAGAGCAAGATTTTGTTATCCATTGACAGGTCGCTATTAATAGCTAAAAGGGGGCGTAGGGCGGTTTTGACAGCTGTTGCACCCGCTATGATTTTGCGAATGTGAGGCTGCCAAGTTAATTTTGAGTCTAGTAAAACACCTAGATATTTGTAAGAAGAAACCCAGGGAATGGGTTCACCGAAGAGCATTAAATTAGGTAAACTTGGGATATTTCTTCGGATGAACATAGTGGCAGCACATTTTGCGACATTAATTTTGATTTTATACAGACCGAGCCAGAGTTCTAAGGTCGAAAGGTAACTCTGCAATTGTGAGATTACCTGGAGGGTGTTGGAATGTTGTGAAATGATGGCTGTATCGTCTGCGTATAACGCAAGATCGATATTTGGGGCCTTAGGAATATCATTTACATAAAGGTTAAAGATTGAAGGTCCAAGGAGGCTACCTTGAGCTACCCCAGCATAGATTGGGCGGGAAGAGGAGAATTCGTGGTTAACTCGCAAGCGGAAACTGCGTCCGGTCAAGTACGAGTTAATAATTTTAATGAGATGAGCCGAAAAACCAAGCCGCATGAACTTGTAAATAATCCCGTGATGCCAAGTCCTGTCAAAGGCTTTGGCAACGTCTAAATAGACGATACCAGTTTTCTTTCGCTTACGAAAGCCTTCATGAATGAATTCCACTACACGGAGTAGATGGATCCAATGATCGTAGAATAGGCGTTTGCCAATTACAATCCGCAGCTCCATACACAATCAGCATGTCGATTAGTTTACTGTTTGAATACGCGTTCATCCTACTATCTCGGGAAACGGATCACAAATGACGACTTCTAGCTGAATCGCTGTTCACGCAATCTGTTATTACTGAAACATAGCCTCATCATTAAAATAAAAATATTTCTTTCATTCATCGAAGAAGTTGATTCATCAAATTATATTCTATCTACACTATAACATAATACAATTATACTAAATTATATACATTATTTAACAATTTCCGGGACATTTTACTGTCCCCTAAAGTTATTAAACATCTCAATTGGTTCACGTCACGAGGTCGAAAAGGGGAAAACCCTTTTTCTTTTCCTACTTCAATGACAGTCAACGCCATCTGTACCTCGCATATAAAATGAAGAGATTTTTATTTTTAATGTTTGTAAGATACTACTAATCAGTTTCACAACACAATCTACCTTTCAGCGCTATCTACCCAAGACGCATAAAGGGCACTTCCAGAACGTAAGGAATTCCATGCAGCCCCGCTGTCAGGCCTTCCAGATGACTTCTGGTCGTAATTTCAAACACCTGTTGTAGTATAACCTTTCAATAAAATATTTTCTGTTCCATTCTGTTGCCCCTTTCTGTTCTTTTTTGTTGCTTCTTTGCACCATAGTTCGCAACTACAGCATTTGCTACCCTGCATTCCTACATGATTCCGAGTCATCTCTGTACCCCCTACACAGCCTGAAAGTCTGGTAGCTAATCAACCTGTATACATATTTATATACTTTTGATGCGGCCGATTATAACCAAAAAAGGAAGGTGCACAGCTACATGTTATCGCAGTCTTATGTACTAAATTTAACGATCCTAGTCTACTCATTTTTGTGTTATGTGAGATACACACATACGTACTTACGTACAGACATCACGAAAAAAAAAAAAAACTCTTCTGAATCCTTTTAAAATCCAATTTACAGTCCGTTTTGGAAGAAGGAATCCTTTATTCTGTTCTTGAGTACGGATGTCACTCAAAACCATTGTTAAATTAATTCGATAGCTGTCAAAATGGATATTTTTTTGAAATATGATGCCCAAAATTTTTCGCGATTACAATATTTCCTTTATTTCATACAAGGTTGTAAAAACAGAATTTTTATTTCTTTCATACTTAATGAATTATTATGAAATAAGTATGTCAGATACTATATACGGAATATATGGTATCATCCAAATAGTTTGGTAAAGATAAACCTTCTTGTGAAATAGGTATTAAAAAGAATATTTGATATTATCAATATTATCAGAGAAAGGGTTTTTGAAAAAGAAATTAAAATGACAACCAATAGCTGGGAATTTAATATTACACTGGCTACGCTACAGTGTTCTACAATTAAATTGTTTCAATGGCATACATATAACTTTCTGAAATATACACCTTTCAAAGAAATCTTAATGTTTGCAGCAATATCATTATGTGACATTTCAAAGAACAGGCAACCTAGCAACTGGCAATGTAATCACACAGCAATAGATACAGCATGCGATATCAGTTGCCATGCTCCTGATACACCTGAAGCCAGTACTGAAATTTACAGGCATGTCTGTAGTATAAAGGGGTTATGGTCACCCACATTACCATCTTGTGTTCAAGGTAAAGAGATTTTTCATTATTAATTTTATTTTTAACACTAATATTATTATTAATTTTTATCTTTATTTATTACTCAGTGTTATTTTCAACATATTTTATAGATAATATTGAAATGAAAGAAAAATCTGTTTTTAGATTGGAAACTTAATTCAGAAGTCAAATAAACTTCTGAATGTAACAAAAATCAGCGTTATATTTTCAAAATTTTAACAGGACTAGTTTCGATTTTTTGCGGTTTTGCAGCTGATGATGGTGGTTCGATAAAACCATCGAAACTAGTCCTGTGAAAATTTTGAAAATATAACGCTGATTTTTGTTGTTTGACTTTCTGAATTAGTATTTATACGGCGTGTTATTGTGTCTTAATTATTAAAACTTATTGCACAGAAATAATTTTTTTAAAATATATATAAATATATAAATAATTTATTTACTAAAGAAATATTGATTATATTATTTCCTAAGATTGATTTTAGTAGAATTATCTAAAAAGAGTGAATCCATAGTTAGTAAGTTTAATCCGAAAATTGTTTTAAAGTAACTTGAATGTAAATTGTTAAAAATGTTTAACGGGGACTTGAATTAAATCATGAATAACAAAATTTCAATTGTAAAATTTTAATTAAATTTCATGAAATTTATTATGAATTAAACTTACTAACTGTGGATTCACTCTTTTTAGATAATTCTACTAAAATTAATCTTAGGAGATAATATAATCAATATTTCTTTAGTAAATAAATTATTATTAACTTACTTTGCAGCTATTGCGCAAGTAGTAGAATAACTCGATTTCGCATAAGTGAATATAAGATCATACAACATATAATATAAATATATATATATATATATATATAATATCTTTTATTTTGTTTTCTTTTTAAGCACGAGCAATTCCCAAACATTTATTTGTAGCTTGATAGGGAGTCGAAATATCTCTAAACCTGTCATTTTGACAAATCTCAAAATATAAGATAATGTTATATGTAACTTGTAACTTCTGATCAAAGAATGAAAATCTCATTAAATCTAAATGCATAGGTATGACTGTACAGAAATTTAATCAAATATGAGTGCTACAAAACTATAAATTAAAATAATTAACTTTGAATTTGTGTTATTCTGTTTGCATGAAGTATATTGAAAAATATTTTTAAGAAGGATTAACGGCAAATCATCATTAAAAAACATAAACTTTTACTATTTATGAAAAAAAAAAATCTTTTTTGGAACTAGGAATGGAAAAAATTAATTCCGTTCTCTCCGGGATATGAACCTCTAATCTACACGCCGAACTAGACGTACTAACCACTTAAACCATGAGAGTATAGATGGAGTAATGCGATAATTCTTAACATTCTTTCCCACTTAAAAGCCGACTAAAAAGAGACACGATACTCACTTGAATAAATCCAAGTGCTGAAGAGTTATCATCCGCCACATATTAGTTTGGTCGTCACTGTTCAGAGTAGAAAATGGGAAAAATCAACTATATCCTCAACGGAATTCAAACCATGGATCTTCAAATTGCTAGCTAAACATGCTAACCATTTCAAAAGTATACATAGGGAAATGCGATATTTTTATAAAATGATAGTGCAAAGAAAACGCTTAAAACTCTAACTATGCAGTGAAAAAAAAAAGGTATATATATATATATATATGTAAGGCAGGAAGATTTCTTTTGTGAATAAATTTCTTTTGTGATTCGAAAATACGTCTTCTTTATTTAGATATCTATAATGTTTAATAATACAGGATGACAAGGCATTTGTTAAAACAGTAGCTTGAAACTATAACTTACATAATGTTTGCTAAATAGATGAAAGAATAAATATGTTACAATCATAAAAGAATAAATGTGACCAAAAAATAAAACAATAATAATCGAATACTTGTGCTGCTAAAAGCATTTCCCGAAATTCCTACTGCAGAACAAAATACCATCGTTTGTTAAGAAAAGTCATGTATAAATTAATAGTAATAAGATATAAGAAAGCGTCGAAAATATTTTTTAGCTATTAAAATCTGAAATCTTAACACGGCGAAAATTGTTTAAAAATTCCATTAACTGTCCTATCGACTCTTAGTCTTCTTTGGAATAATTATTAAAATTTTCGAGATAACAGGATTCGACAGTGAAATTTTTAGTTACAATGTCTGTATTCGGAATTATTTTGTTCTCAGTTCTGTTCTGCTATTGGATCTTTCGTAAAAAACACAAGAACCTCATACAAAATTTTACGAACATTTCCTTTTTCACCACTAATGTAATATCAGTATTGCGAACACGTTACTAAATACCATTAGTATGAAAACTCTATATCACATAACATTAATGTAAGGTTAATCTACAATTATTTGACCTTCCTAGGCTGCGCACAAACCATAGGTATTTGTCTTTCTAATAAAAATCGGAGAACGAATTGAACGCAACGAGAATTATGTCAATAGATTTAATGCAACCATAAAAGCATAGTCATGCTAAATTTTTTAAACTAACTGTATACTTTACTGCGTGTTTTTTCAAAATGTGTAAGTATGAGAAGTATGAGTCAATAAGAGTCGGCTCGAAATTTATTGCCGGAAATCTACGAGACAAGGCGCTAACGCTAGCTGGAAGAAAGCATTCACAGCTGTGAGGAAAATTATGAGCATGTGCGAGTATTATTAGAGAACTTTATACGTTATCATATAAAAGGATTCATGCCATTCAAACAGTTGCTTTGAATTGATATTATGAAATGGACTTACTAAACGTGACAGCACCAAGTTATAATGCGGTTTTCGGTAGCAGAAACGCATTTATTCTCTCGATTTCAGAGATACTGCTTTCGTAACTAACAGTGTTTCATATCGCTGTACACTGCGCCCCCCAAAAAAGGACAGTTCTATATCTCCCGTTCTACTGCGCCGATTGACGAAATTCAAATTGCGTTTTTCATGTCTCAAAAGCGCGACTTAGGATATATATTAGATTTATATATAGCACTATTCTAACATAGGTATTTCGACACAAAATCGGATTTTTCCTGATATAAACATACCAATTTCTTTACATATTTCGACCCTACGACTCAAATTATGCCTAAATATTAAATTTTGTAAAATTTGGTGCAAAATTTAAGGAGAAATTAAACAATTTTTGTTAGCGCTTTTTTTCAGTTTGTGCCAAGAACTTCTTAGCGAATTTCTTAATATGTGGCAACCTATTTTCATTTCCCTTTTTATATCGTGCGTGAAAGGAAACAAGCGACAATCGTTCCTTCTTTCAAATAATGTACTTTATATTATATTTTTATTATAATTGTTATTATTATTAAGTAATTTTATCTTTTTTGAATTTCATTTTAATTGTTTAAGTCGCATGGTTTCTTTCGAATAACTATTTAAAAAATTTCTATGTACTAATTAGAATAGTTAGTACTAATTAGAATAGCGTAGTTTAAATAAGAGGTGCATCGTTTATTATTATTTTTATCAAATAGTTTTCTTTATACTATAGTTTTTAGTCATAGTTATTATTTTAGGTAATTTTTAAATTTTTAGACTTTTATTTTAATTGTTTGTGTTGCATTGTTTCTTCAGATAATTGTTTTAAAATTTGCTATTTATTCATTCGAACTGAGCATTTTAAATATATTTATTAATATAAATTTTTCAGAATTTGCTTTTATTTATTTGAATTGCATTTCTTTCGGAAGAATGATTACGATGCATTTGAAAATTGCATATATTAAAAGAGAAAATACAGTAAAGCACAGTTAACACGCCTTTCAGTGTTCCGTTCAGAAAAGATATATAAATAAGAGAGATGTATAACCAACATTTTAACTTAGAATAACTTGCATACATTGCTTTAAACAGTTTTATCATTGTGCCCACTGTTTTACACAAATTTATCATGTTGCATTTAGTATCTTAAAATGTTATTCATATTTTAGTCAAATATTTTATTTTTGAAATTGCAAGAATCAAATATCATAAGATTAAAAAAGTTTTAAATTAAAAAGAAAACAGAATACTAAATTTTATGCAAAAATTTATTTTTTCTTCTTAATGGCTTGCTCTTTTTATTCAGGCATTCTGAAAGTATATTAAAAAGCATCCAACTTTTCGAAACATCTTTATTTCTGACATTCATTTCAAGTAAAAGTTATCGCCTTCCATTTCATAAAGGGGCCACCAGCGGCCGAGTGGTAAAGACACTGAACACTGGTAGTTCGGTCCGAGTTCCGCGAACGGGCTGGCTGCATGGGCGTTTTCGTGGTTTTCCCTATGTGTAACATGTATACGAGCCAGTTTCCCTTAGAAAGTCCTCCACGAAGGCATCCCTCCCTTTAGGCAGATAGCCCTCGTGTGCTTTGCTATAGTTAAATAATCCAATTCCAATCCATTTCATAAAGGCCCACAAACGGCCGAGCGGTAAAGTCGCTGAACATTATCAGTTCGCTCCGGGATTCGAATCTCGGCAAACGAACTATTTGCATAGGCGTTTTCGTAGTTTTTTCTCATGTGTAACGTATGCCAGCTTGTTTGCCTTAGAAGGTTCTTCACGAAGACATCCTTCCTTTTAGGCGGATAGCCCTGCTTTGCCGTAATTTAATAATCAAATTCAATCCATTTCATCAGTATTTGGTCAGAGCCTTTACCAGTCTTTAGTGGCTAAGCAATTTGAAGGCATGAGATGAAAGGAAAGACTGGTTTCCAAACGAGGGAAAACGTCTTTAGATGATATCGATGTATGCTTTAGAGACATTAGGTTTTTCTAGAAGCAGGAGACTTGAAAAATGTGCAATGCCTTCGCCGGTATTTCAACCTCTCGAATGGGCGCAAAGCGTGCAGACCACTACACCATGAAGGCACGCTAAGAAGGCGGGAGAGATACCTTATATACCCCCTTTTAAAGGGCGACTGGGGATCAGGGGACAAGAATCATCATTCACCACCTTTTAGTTCGGGCGCCGCTGTAGAGACATTAGGTATTTTTTCGGAAGCAGGGGAAATGAAAAATGAGCAATGCCTTCGCTGGGAATGGAACCACGGACCTCTCGAATACGCAACGTGCGTGCAAACCACTACACCACGAAAGCACGCAAAGAAAGCGGGTAATACCTTATAACGTCACTGGATAAATTCCTGAATCTTCAAATAATTCAACTGAGAAATTTTGGGATGTTCCGTTTATGATACGATATGATGGTCTATGACGTAATTTAAATTTATACATGGTATTTGGTTTAGTCGAAAACCAGTCGCTCTTCAATTTAATCTGCAATGATATGTTTTTGTCTTTTCCGTTAGTACTAACTCAATTGCTGCTTTTTGCTGGTATGCACGTCCGAGTGTTTTCTCTTTGAACACTAAAATTCTTTGAAGCAGATTCCCCTTTAAATTTTTGCTTTTTCCCTTTTATTTCCCTTACTTCTACATTTGTGTTCAATGCTGACACAAGAATATTAAGGCTTTTAGATTGTTACACTTCCATAAATTTTGCATTCTTGTCAAATTTTTTTTTAATATCAGTTACATTAAATGCGTTTCAGATGAAAGACGGCTTCTAAACATTTTAACTATAAATAAAATTTAAAGCAAAGTCCAAAGGATAAATATTTGAAATAAAAGATTTTTGTTAAATGAGAAAGAAAGAAATCACTCCAGCAACGCTCATCCTGTACCACTGAGTGACCCAATTCTTATATCGGGTGCAAAAAATCTTAATCATATTATTTAGAGTTTTTAAGCTTAAACATTTCTATATTAAAGAAGATGTATTTTATATAATCTACACCACGAGAGAAAATTACTACTTAAGACATTCTTTCTTAGAGGATTAATTTAAAAAATTTATGTTTATATATATATGTTTTTTAAAGCTAGGACATGACCCAAAGTGTCAATGCCTTGTTTGCTTAAAAACATTGTGAAAATAAACATCAAACGAACTTTTGTCATGTTTCTTATTTTAGAAGAACGTGATGACTTTCTTAATTTATGTTACTCTCTTGTGTAATGTTATAAAGTATTTCTCCCACTTCCCTAGCGTGCCTTCGTGGTAACGATAGCACGCTGGGCCGGTATTCCAGAGGTCCGTGGTTCGATTCCCGGCGAAGGCGGTTGCATATTTTTCATCTTTTCTGCTTCCAATTAACCTAATGACTCTACAATGTGTGCATTGTAACATTTATATTGTTGAGTATTAATTAATTGAATTCGTGATTTACTATTTTGCAAATCATAATAGTATTGCATATGAAGTCACTGAACTCAAGATTTTCTACTTGCAAATCATTATAACATTTATAAGCTATTTAGCTAATGATTTGTTGTTATTATACATGATCTGGAAGCTCTTAATTCCACTGCACAAACCGAGCAAATGAAAAAGATATTATTCTCGTGGAATCATTAAAAAAGCCAATCCGTATAAAATTTGAATATGTTGACAAATAACGATAGAATAGAACTCAACTCCTACTCATCTCAGATTCTCCCTTGCTGTAGCCATCAGAAGGTAGGTATAAACATCAACCGTGCGTAGAAGGCTTCAAAAAGGAGGTCTGTATTTCAAGCGACTAGCTATTTGCGTGTAGCTCAGCTCACGTCATGTACAGAAAGGAACTTTTAAGTGGGCACGTCAATATGTCCACTAGAAGGCTGATCAATGGAGGGCTGTTCTCCTTACGGATGAGTTTAAATTTATCCTCCAAAGCAATAGTAGGCGTTATTTCATTTGAAAAAACCTGGAACCCGTTACAATTCATCAGATATCCGTACAGAGATGCATACGGAGGAAGCAGTGTCTCTGTTTGGGGTGGTATCTCTTTGGGTGGACGCACAGACTTCCATGTCTTTCCACGTGGAACTGTAAATCCTCAGGCATACAGAGATAACATCCTTCATGCTTATGTGCGCCCTTACCGGAACAATAGATGGTGATTTCCTGCTACAAGACTTCAACGCAAACAGTGGCCAGCTCGATCACCAGACCTGAAATCTATCGAGCATGTTTGGAATGCTCTAGGAAGACGTATAGCTGCTCTCAGTCCTCTCAGTCTTCAGACCCTTGCCCCGCTTGCAACTACTCTGCAAGAGCAACGACTCTCGCTTCCTGCGGAATTGATAGACCGCGTAATTGACAAAAATCACACATGGCTGTGTGTGTTGTATTGCTTCTAGGGAAGATCATACTCCATATTGAAGGTAATTTTCCTATTTGCCAAACGGACACATCCGATTTGTTTATTTTATACATATGCTACTTTCTATAACTGGTAATTTGTCTGCTAATTTCTTTCATGTTATTTTAGACTTTGCTATGTGTTGTGGACTGTGGGTGTCAGTTTCATTAAGTTCTACATATAACTTTCGAGTAATCGTTATTTTTGTGATTTTTGCTTAATTAATAATAACCAGTGTATATTTCAGCATCGTATCAAATGTCTTTATGTACCTGTTCTCACTTTATATCTACAATTTGTTCATCAAAAAATTTTCGGACGGTTTTTCCACAAATTGCATTAAAGGCTGAAAGTTAATTACCGGTCAGCTGTGATTTTAGTGGTGAATAAATATATATGTATTTATCTAAAGAATGTATTGGAACGTCAACGGAATTTCAAGTAATAACAGAAGTGATAACACTGAAATGACATATCTAAGGATAATTAAATTCAGTTTTTTAACATTTCTCTTTGAAGGTTTTAATTTGAGGCCTTTCATAATAACGAATCCTATTCGGAAAAGATTACTACGATAGCCAAAAATAATTATTTAAAAAAAACTTTAATGCTCTTACCCAATACCCGTAATTTGAGAAACTGTGATTACTGTTTTTATTATTATAAGAATTTTTTAGGATTTTTGGGGTGCGAGGATCCGGGAGATATTCCTTTTTCTCGTCGCATCATCCCTCTGAATGGATTAAATGTAGGATCTTCTATTCATTATGAATGCAATGAAAGATTTTCAATACTGGGAGACGCAAAAATCGTCTGTCAGGAAAATGGACAGTGGTCATCTGTTAAACCCCAGTGCATTCCGAAGGAAAATATTCCAGGTTGGTCTATAATTTAATTAACGTGACAAAGGAGAAATTTCTTCTAATCTCTGTTATAGCTTTTAAAGAAGCTTTTGTGTATTTACTGATTTATTTTATTTTATGTGGGTAGATCACTGCTCAAAACCAAACGCTCCTAAAAACTCTATTGCTCATGTGAACTTTCCTGATCAGCAACCTTTACAAGTGTTCCTGAATGCAAACATGTGAGTTTTAATTATTTTTTATTTAAATCTTCTTTAATTAAAGAACGCATGTTGCAAATTTCAATTAAAAACATAATAGTTGAGCATGCTTAGGCTAATGTACATCGTTACGTTTCACTATCGCTCAGTAAGTACTGTTTGACTAAAAGTATTTCGGGAGTTACATAGGGACAGAGGACATAGCCAAAGCTGCAGTTTTCATAATAAAATACTAGGTGGACTACTTGATATGTGAACTTGGAATCACAGCAAATAAAAAAAAAAAAAAAAAAAAAAAAAAAAAAAAAAAAATGAGAGAACGAAAGGACATTTTAATCATGGATACTTACAAAAACTATGGTTAATACTCAGAAGAATTATTCAAATGATTAAGCACCAACTGCAATATGTGTATCACAACCTCAATAAGTCACTGACTTGTCTTTAACTTATACATTGGGAATATGATATTTATGCAGCAGCGATGCTATTTCTGATAACAAGGTCTTCAACAGAGTCAATCTGTGTTTCTAAATGGCGTACGTTGTCGTTGTGATGCTTGTACTGCAGTTGTCGGTTGTTCATCTAAGCAGTTCTTGCAAATGTGAAACACTAATTCTTGCAAATATCAGGGACTGAAACGATTTTTCTTTTTTCTGTGTTCTTCATACTTTCTGTGCTTCCGCGTTTCCATTTCGCATTTCTCTACTCATGTATACTAGAACTGTTGCATATATATCACGTTCGTTCACTCCTTGTAATTGCGACTATCGATCCTGTTACACGCTCGTAAGAATGTCACAAACCTAAGAATAAATTACTTAACTAATGTTAGTTGCTTTCAACTGGGAATAATTTAATTTCATTCTTTTTGGTTCTTTCCTAACGACTGACATTTATTAATAAAGCATAATTAGACCGTAAAGTTAGACAATGGTGTAATCCAAAATGTTTAAAATTAAAAAAAGTAATTATTAAGACATTAAAAATATAGAAGTAAAACCGAGTTCTTCTTTGCATTTCAGCTTTAAATGGAAGCAATTTAAAATTTTATAACTGGGGGGGGGGGAAATTTTTTGAAAAATGACTTAGACTTTTATAATGCATTTATAATACTTAGGGGGGAAACGCAGTTCTTTGAATTTCTTTCAGTGATACTATTAATTATCCCCAATGATATAAATATTTTACGTATTATCTGTGATGTTATTACATCAAAAGGTAAAGAAAAACACATAAAATTAGCTCTCATTTCGTACCGTTACATTTTTTAAACTGAAAGAAAAATTTTGAAAACGGAAAAAAAATTCTCTATCTGATCGCTCATTATGGTGTAAATTCCTTGTTAAAACTTTTGTTTCTATGTTTCATTTCAAAGAAGAAGTGGCCCACCAGCGGCCGAGCGGTAAAGTCGCTGAACACTGGTAGTTCGGTCCGAGGTTCGAATCCCGCGAACGGGCTGGCTGCATGGGTGTTTTCGTGGTTTTCCCCATGTGTAACGTGTATACGAGCCAGTTTCCCTTAGAAAGTCCTCCACGAAAGGCATCCCTCCTCTTAGGCAGATAGCCCTTGTGTGCTTTGCCATAATTAAATACACCAACACCAAAGAAGAAGTTTTATGCACCTAATTCCTTCAAACTGAGCTATTGTATGTTAAATAAACTAATTCATTCGAACTGAGCTTTTACGTCCGTAAAACCGATAACAAGTTACCGTGTTGTACTTATGGTAGTTTATGTTCTCACAGTGTACTAGAATAAAAGCTCATGTTGCTTAATTCTTAAAGATCCATCGTATTATGATTTCTCTGAAATTTAAATCGGTACTGAATGATCGCATGTATTTCCATTTCGATAACTAGAAAATTTTAATTCCAGTTGCTGTTGAGAGTGCTGCATTGGACGTCCTTCTTAAATGTCCCAAAGTTTACATTCCACTTCTCTCCATTTATGCTAATTTAAATACTGTAGTTGTCCGTTACTCAAATATTCAACTTTTATATTTCCTTGTTTTACCTCGAAGTTATTTTATACTTTAAAATTTCTTTAAAATTTATCAATAAACTAGCAAATATTTCTTCGACAATATATTCATGGCCTTTAGGTACAGAAATTGTTCAAAAGATATCTACAAATTGGTCTTACCATTTTGCAAAACTATTCATTCGTAAATTTTTGAAGCAAAAATAGATAGATGAACTTATATCGAGTGTCTCAAGTAAGTGCTGGAGGAACACCTTAGAAAGGAAATTATAGAAAAACCACGGGAAATAATTGTGGCCAGTTTTGGGCTTAAAACTAGTCACAAATTGAAATCTTTAAATTTAACTTGGAATATTCCAGAATTACTCCCGAAATATTCCAAGTTAAATTTCAAGATTTCAGTTTGTAGCACACCGGTGAATGAATCAATCTTTCTCACTAAATTTTTCCTATCTGGTAAATGCTCTTTCTGATATAACTGCTATTGCCTAAAAGATTAGTTGTGAGAAGTCGTCTCTTCTCTTTTGATGTTAAAAAGATGGGTTAAAACTTGTCGAAGATGGGTTAAAACTTGTCGAAGAGACTCTATATTGTTGATAAGCATAGTAGTGTGAAAAAGTGGAAAAAAAATAATGTTTTGCTGAACAATTATGCTATAAATTTGATTAAACACATCAAAAGCTGTTTTAACTGATTTATCCTACTATGATTTGAAATATTCTTGACTGCATATTAAGTTCTGGAATTTGGGACTACGTTAGCTGAGCGCATAACTGAGAATTATCATTAAAATATATTTAACTAGTCTTCTAAATGTGCATTTTGCTAGTGAGAGTAAATTTTGCCACTGAGAGCTATTGTGTATTTTTATATGTGACGAATAAAGCATTTAAATGGTCATAAAAGATAGTGGTGAAGTGAAATTATGGGAGTAAGAAGGGTTTTAGTTACAGGTATTCATAGTGTTTCAGAAATGAAATTTTTGGGGAATCTAAAACTTTTGAGGTTAAGATCACCATTTTCATTCAGTTGGATTCTTTGAAGTTGTACACTTGTAGCTTTAAGGCCCATGTAATTAATTTGGGAGTTCATTCTTTTCAGAATATTGCGTACCTACGGCGAATGGTCTAAATATATACAGTAACGGGTGCTTTTCCAAAATAAACCCTAAACTGCTGAACTGCCATTAACACGGCTAACGTTTCTCGTTCGGTCGCTTTATAATTCTGTTGTGTAGCGTTTAATGTTTTACTAAAAATTACCCAGGGATGCACTTTTTGCATTAAAACTGCAACCACGGCGTAATCTGAAGCATCAGCTGCGATCTACGAGTTCTCGTCCCTTTCCGGGAATTTTAACAGTGGGGTATTAATTAGAGCTGTTTTTAATTGTTCAAATGTCGTGTTTGGCTCCGCTGTCCACGTAAACTTTGATTTCTTCTTTTTTACCACTAACAGAAGTTCAACAATATTGGCAAAATTTTGGATAAAAGAACGGTAATACGAGCACAGGCCAAGAAAAGATGACAGTTTCTTTGCCGTATTAATGGAGGATAATTTTTTATTTCTTTTATTTCAGAATCGTCAGTATAGATACTCTTACTCTTTAGATGAAATTTTGTACTCCAGATATCGTGATTCTTTCGTTGCGACCTTAACATTTTGATGCATTAACATATAAGGTATTTTTTCTACCTTCTTAGTGTGCCTTCGTGGTGTAGTGGTTCTGCACGCTAGGCCGATATTTCAGAGGTCCGTGGTTCGATTCCCGGCGAAGGCGCTTGCTAATTTTTCAATTCTCCTGCTTCCAAAAATATACCTAATGTCTCTACAAACAGTTAACCCTGATTCCTTTAATAATGAAAAAACTTCGTGGAGATCTTTCACATGTTTCTTAATGGTGTCGCTGGTTATAATGATATCATCCAAATAATATTAGTGTGGATTTCTTTTTGGATAGGACGTAGAATAAGATCCATTGCGCATTGAAATGTTGAGGGGGTACCGCAAAGTCCAAACAGCATACGTAAAAACGCATAAGTGCCCGATTTTGTAATAAACGCCGTTTTATTTATATGGTCTGGTTTCATGGCTATTTGAAAGTATCCCGAGGTAAGATCAAGAGTGGTCATGAATTTCGTAGATCTATTTTTTCTTATTATTTCTTCTATTACCGGCAAAGGGTAGACCGGAAATTTAGTGATGCTGTTTAATTTTCTATAATCAATAGCAAAACGGCAAGATTTTGGAGCCGAGGAGGGTAAATTATTCCTCATTCTGCATAGCAAAACTGCGCTACATATTTACTATTGATGGGGGTTGTTATCTTATTCTTTAACATATGCTGGTATGTGTGGTATTCTTTTATGACTTCCTTCTCCTTATCATATCGATAAGGTTTCGCTTTACACGGTTCGCTTGATTTTAATTCAACGGAATGAGTGACTATCCGCGTATTTCCCGGCTTTTTAGAAAATAATGTAGAAAATTTACTTACGAGTTCTTCCAGATTGGCTCTGGTGGTCTTTACCATTACCGCTTTCATTCTTACTCATTGACGGCTTGGCTAAAAACGTTTTCCTCCTATGTATTTATTTCTTTTTGCGGCCTGCTGTCTGGAGAACTGCAGATGATATCCCTGGGAAGGAAATCTAGATCTTTTCGCTATTCGATTCTGGAACTTTACTGCTAATTCAAACAATTCTTACAGCGTTCGTGGGTTTCTCAGCTATACGAAATCTTGTACTGCGGATAATAAACTTGGTAATATAATTTAAATGACTTCGCGATCGGGCTTCCTACCATACAGCATATTCGCTAGCTTGAAGTACTTGACGTAGAATGAACTTTGTGAGCTCCTCAATTTTCTGTTAGTAAAAGCTGAAGAATTCGTCTTCAAGCTCTGCACGATCTTTAACTATCGGGATGGCCTTTAGGAGTGCCGCTTTAAAATTTTCAAAATTGCAGGTGAGGCTTCCGACTTCTCCAAGTAAGAATTTTCCAATTCCTTTCCACCAAGACTCCGTCTGTCCTCGGAGGGTACTCGAGGCAATCGCTACCTTCTGTCTTTCGGGTACCTGATAAAACTGGAAGTGAGTATCAAGGACTTCCAGAAATGAAGTGATGGAATTCTTGCCGCCGAATACCACTGCTGGTTTGATTGACGCTTTCATCGTCTGTATTAGGAAATCAAATCCATCCAAAGGGCTTGTTACTATCGGGCTGGCGACTTCTGAATCTTGTAAGGATGATTGCCCGTCCTGTTCATTGACCATCGGATTCGAGTAGTAATTCAAGCGCCAGATGTGAGAACCACTTGCTTATCTTCTAAGTGACAACTGTAGGTGTAGAGTACGTGTAGGAACTATACGGGAGAAGGGTTAAAAGTGCCTTTTATCAAACTCATTAAAATTCACACTGCGTCGACTTGACGCTAACACACTACTCCTCACTCGGAATTCAAATCACAAGAACTAAAATAAAAATTCAAAGATATTAACAAGTAGAAGAAATCACGTTACAGGGCTCAGAAAACTCCTGTTACTTAGAACCGTGTCGAAACTAGTGGCAGCAAAGTAAAAGCTGATATGCCACGTAAACCGGCAGTAACTTCGGGAATAGAAGCTCACGTAACAGAGGTGATGGCAATAACCTAAACTCCCTAAATTTCTTTCTAAAACTTGGTATTTAATATTTTCCTCCTCAAGGTGGAATTTGCATTTCTTCGCGCGTGTTTAAAAAGTTAAATATTCTGGCATTGACAATTAGGGGAATGAAGACTTAATAGGAAAGCTTAAAATTAAACTTATAAGTAACTTATCTCCCACTTTCCTAGCATGCTTTCGTGATGTAGTGGTTCTCCACGCTGGGCCGGTATTCCAGTGGTCCATGGTTCGATTCCCGGCGAAGGCGTTTCCTAATTTTCATCTCTCCGGCTTTTCCAAAAATCCTAATGTCTCTACAAATTTAACGTGTTTGTTAAAATAAATATAAATCCGTACGCCTTATTTACACCTTTCCATACAATGCTACGATTGCCTATGAGCGTCAGTACGCCTTTTGCTACTATTCGTAAACAACCCGCGCTATTAATCTGAATTTGCAAATGATTTTGTGTTTTTTCTCATAAATGTTTTGTAAAATCATTAACAATGGGCTATACGGAAGTTACTGAGAAGAATTGAAGCAAAGAGAAAAAAAAAAAAAAAAAAAAAGAATTGTTGAAAAGCATAAAGAGAGCATACGTATCCGAAACTTGAATATTGCTTACCATATGACAAGTACGATTGTGACATGATTGCGAAAAGCAAAGACATTGTTAAATTGTTAATATTACGAAAGGAGTTGAAATCGATTACCAAATAAAGATCAGAGACGCTAGCATGTTGAATATTTTTTTTAACTTGACAGCAGAAAAATATTTATATACAGTAACTCGTGCTGAGCTTCATATATGTACAGTACATATTTATCTCACTACATTTGTATTTTAATATTAAATAATATCATAATAATAATAGTATAATATTTTTGTAAAATTGGACAATTATTTTCTCCTTATTTCTTACTGAAAAAGTTCGTTTGACATACGTCAAAGAGCCGGAATGAATTAAATATACTGTGGTAGCAGCGAAATTCAAGACAAATTTTTCTTATTGTAAAGCGCACGCTTGCTCATCCCATAGGTAAAATATATATTTCTGAGATTTTTATATTCTCATTAAAACACAACTATCATGTACGAACGAAATTGTTTTCTAGTGATGATAAAAGACAGAACCACATTGTTTGTTACTGAAGAACTAAGCACCGGAAACATTAGAAAATTAAAAATATAATGCAAGCATTTTACTTTCTTTTCATTCTTAATTCTTCTTCCTTCTTCAGGTCCTTGTCACAGAGGTTGCGCGTGATAAATATAATTCGAAGACAAGGTGGAGACTTTTCTGACGTACCTGAAGAAATGTTTTTAGTGGGTACTAGAGTACAGTACAAATGTAAATCACGTTTTTACAAACTGTACGGCTCAGAATACCAGACCTGTTTACCATCTCGCACATGGAGTGGATATCAACCAGCCTGTATACCAGGTATAAGGTGAATTTTTAACTATAGTTTCTCTACTTTTTTATGTTACTATGTTATAGTATTTCAACGTTTTGAAAAATTAATGAAATATACTGTGGTAGTATTACTTATAATATTTATTAAGTCATTCGAAAAGTTCTGCATTTTTTAATGAAAAGTACGAATGAAGCAATACAAAAACATGAGAAACTTTCATTGAATCGTATAAACATCATTTTATTATATGACTGTTCATCTCTCAGCCATCAGAAAAATTCCTTTTTAAAATGTCAGTACGTTTATTCATAAAGAAATTATCTACGTGCTGTTAAACAGTCTCCAACGGAGTGAACTCCAGTCGTTCAGAGAATTTGGAAGTAACCGAAAGAGATGAAAATTCTAGAGGACAAGGTCTAGTGAATATGGAGGTAACGCAAAATATCTCAGACATGCTTAATAAAGCTTTGTCTGAACTTCATCGAAATGTGAGGCCGAGCATTGTCATTCGTCTCGAATTCGGTAAGCTGTGAGCACTTTGCTTCGATTCTTTCTTTTAAAACTGCCATTTGTGAAGCGTACCCAAGTTTATTGTGTACAATTTCTTTGCAGTTCTACCAAACACAAAACATTACGTTTTTGTGATGCAGCTGGTCTTTCGATGTTACTAAAGGAGATTCTTTTGGCTTATTCCATGATATTTTTCCTGTAACATTATTGCAACGTATCCTCTTCTCATCTTCAGTCATGGGCAGTTTTAAAAAAGAGCTTCTTTATGTACTTCTCAGCAAATAATCAAATGCTGAAACTGGATCAAGCATATTCTATTACCCAAGCCTATTCGCATGGGATCGAACTCGGGTCGTACTCCTAGCCTTCATTGGTCTTAACCACTTGACCGCTGATGGGACCTAGATCCTGGTGTATATATGAGAAATAAAAATATTTACTCACTGAAATAAATTCAGTGAAGTTAATTTCTATTGTCCTAACATTTATATTTGCAAACACCAGAGATACAAAACACTTGAAAATAATTATGTCTTATGGATTTTCCTTGGAAAATTCTTTAAATTATACTTATTTCTAATCACCGTTATTAAACTCTTAAGTAAGAACCTGAAAAAACATTCTTACAAAAATGATGTGCCTAACGATCGAACTTGAAATCAAGTAAAATTACATAAGAATGGGCACAAGTGAAAAAGAGAAATAAATGTAAATGTCCTCCAAAAAGTTGCCAAAGTTGTGACCGGAGGTAATCGAAAGGTATCTGGGGGGTAAAGGAGGAGAGGAAAGAATGAACTATTAAAGTTGACGATAGTCTTTCTGATATTATACTTGTGATCTAGTCTTAAGATTACCTATAGTCTTAAGATAGATAGTCTTAAGATTTATTGTCCAAAAATAGCAGTCGACTTAAGATATGTGCATACTGAGTAGAGCGGCGTAAAGAGAAACGAATGATTAAAATGTTTGCCTTCTAACTTACCAGTCTCTTATTGATTTGTTTTTCATATAAAACATTTAGCGTAAGATCACCAGAATAATTTTTCTTTTCTGAAAACGGGAATTAAAAAAGTGTAAATGAATAAACACAGTTCTGACAGTGAAAGTGGATAATTCATTTTATGCAGTGTGGCTTTCTTCAGTGCATCGTTCAGATTGTAACAGAGTATTTGATCTAATAACAATAACGTAATGGGAGATAGTCATCTAAAATGAACGTTTTTTGTTTATTACTTTAAAAAATGGTGTGTGGACCTTTTTCTCACATGAACTAATGTTGTTTGTTGTCTTGTCCATATTACATGGAATAATGTTTGCCAGAGCCTACGGTGTATGGAATAGCTTAGTTGGACATGTTACGTGAATGTTTAAAGCGTCAATTATTAAGAAGACAGTAACAATTTTATATTTTTCCCAAATGGCATTCCACTGTATTGGCATCGGAAGGGTAGAAATTACTTGGACAAAAATCTACCTTTGCGTTGGATTGACCACACGACGGACCATAAAATAGCTATAGCATATTGGCCATTAAGAGGTCTGGATTACATCATGTCCGTCCACTTGTGGATATATATATAGAGCCGAATTTGTATTCCTGTACTTCGTAAATTATGGGAGATCGTAAACAAAGCATCACAACAGCTGCTGTGAATGCTGACATGGACATGCTGAGACATATTTGGGAAGAACGTGACTATAATGAGCTGTCATACTAAAAAAAATATCACATATAGAACATTTGTAACTTAATCATGTAAACTTCAGGGTATACTCTTCTAACCTTGTTATAATTTTAAAACTTTGAAAGTGCCTCCTCTATTAAAGGCTAACGCTGTTTATGTGGACAGTCCACATCATGCCAGTTCGTTGAATTAGAACTTCATATTTTTTCAAGTTGAAAAACGCAGGTTACTGTGATGTTTCCATGATCTGGGAAAATGTTACATGATTTTTTACAGTCCGATTAATGATCCTGAAATGAATCAATGATCCTGAAAATGCATATTTCAGATTCCAACAAGTTGGAACTACAGGGCATAAAAGAACTGAATGTAGGGCAGTTATACGAAGAATGTTTCAAGGTACCTGTTTTTACAGTATGGTGATATTGCATAGAAGATACGGTCTCCAGATTTCCCCTTTTGTGATTATTTTCTTTGGGGATGCCTGAAAACTGAGCTCTTTAATCACTGGTTGCAGAAATTAAGGTATTTATAATGCTGGCACATTTTCTTCATTCATTAACTCTTGTGAGTTACATATGAGAAAGATGTATCATTACTTATGCTTTCATTTCACATTTACTAAAAGAGCCGAATTTCTCCAACAACGATCAAACTTTTGGGATTCAGTAAGCATCGAATGAGAAAATTCCATCGAAATGTAGGCATGATAAAGCTGGAAGATTAGATTTCTAGAACATAATTATTGATTAATTTCTAGAGCAAAATTGCTTACATGCATTTACTAGTAATAAATGAAGGTGAGAAGTTTTTATATAATCATTCTCTTAAACTGATTTTTATAAATTAAAATTTTATCACAATTCTTTCATCTTTGCGAAGAAAACGGTTGCTGTTTCTAATAGCGTTATTTGCGGTTCTAATAGCGATTGCTGTTTCTAATTTCTTGCGGTTCTGTCTCGAAGAAATATAATAATGAATAAATTTATTTGTTTAATTCACTTTTCATTCTGTTAAAAAATTACAAATTTTTCATTATGACGCATTAATCATTACTTTCTGTCTAACTAAATTAATTAAAGACCAAAAGATTTTTTCATTATTTGGGTAGTTCTAAAGATATTATAATTCTTACAGACTGTGGCAAATCAGATTCTCCAAGGACACCCTTTATCATCAACGGTAATGCAAGCGAAATTGGACAGTGGCCATGGCAAGTGGGAATTGCCTTAAGAAGGCATGAAGGATTGGAACTTATATGTGGAGGGGCTTTAATCAGTGAATTATGGGTGCTGACGGCAGCCCATTGCGTAACGAAGAAGTTCTCTAACATTCCTATGGATCTAAATGAAGTGTTGATATTTTGTGGAAAATATTACAGAAGCTTTAAACGGGAGGACAATTACGTGCAAGTTAGGAAGGTAATGCAGCGTCAGTATGTCTGGATCTAGATCACTGCTAATCATAGTTTATTCTTGGATGAAGAAGTTCTGAATTATGATATTATGTCCAAACATATTCCAAAAGTGAAAAAAATTGAAATTTTTGTCTTACAGGTCCTACAAATCGTAGTTCATGATGAATATGATTTTATTCACTATGATGGGGATATAGCCATTTTACAACTAGAAGAAGCTGTAAAATTTACGACTAGAGTTAAGCCCATATGTTTACCAAACGAATTGACTACAAGAGAAAATGTTAGAGATGGTAAAAAGGGAATTGTAAGTACAGCTAAATATTAAACCTCCTTTTTTCCCCTCTTTTTAAAAGCAGTAGTTATATATTTATATTGCTCCCTCTACAGCAATTTTTTATATTTGGCTTTTACATAATCATTTGATTTCAGTTTGACATAAAAAAACGGCAGTCGTAAAACTTTAGCTTTAAATAATGTTGAGACATGTATTAAAAATGCCTAGAAGTTCATTTGGGAAAATCAATCTCATCACATAGTTCTTCCTTTTTATTAAAATTCAATTGGTTTTGTGCTCGAATTATCGAAATGATGGCTGAAGTAATAACATTTTTCAAAAAACTTGCCAATCGAGAATTACTGCTGTTAATTATTCTTTCATTATTCATGTCTCATCTCCAATACTTACTACCTTACGCAAAACTGTATACTTGTGGTATATGTGCTTTAGCATTCGTATGAGCAGCAAGCAGTACAAATAGCTTATAATGTATTTCTCCAGCCTCCTTAGCATGCCTTCGTGGTGTAATGGTTAGCACGCTCAGCGCGTATTCTAGAGGCCCGCGGTTCGAGAAAGGGCATTGCTCATTTTTCATCTCTCCAGCTTCAAAATAACCTAATGTCTCTACACAGGCGCCCGAGTTAAAAAATGTAATGAATGATGATTCTTCACAATCAGGATTTGTTGATTGGGTCCCTTAATCCCCAGTCGCCCTTTAAAAGGGGAGCATATAAGGTATTTCTCTCGCCTTCTTAGCATGCCTTCGTAGTGCAGTGGTCAGCACGCTCGACGCGTATACGAGAGGTCCGTGGTTCGAGTCCCTGCGAGGGCATTGCTCCTTTTTCATGTCTCCCGCTTCGAAATAACCTAATGTCTCTAAAGTTAATTATCAAAACTTCCATTTTTAATATTAATCATTGTTATGCGATGCGCGTTCTTAGAGATCTCCTTAAAAACGGAAGCCCGCTGAGAGGTAAAGTCACTGAACATTGGTAGTTCGACTGCGGTTTAAAACCCGGCGAATAGGCTGGCTGCGTAAGGTTTCGTTCTTTCTCTTCTGCGCGGAGTCCTGCATGAAGGTATCCCTCCCCTCAGGCCGATAGCCTTAGTGTGTTTTGGCATAACCCAGCAATCTAATACATTCTGAAAAAAGATCTAGGATTATCAGAAAAGCATAAAGTTTTACTGCAGCTTGAGAAGAATAAAAGTTCTTACAGATAGCGGGTAAAACATAGTTCATGGAGAATACAATACACCGAGAAGATGACATCTGTCCTAGTTCTTGCCGTACGGAATTGAACGTCATTTCTGCGGAAATCAGTTACATTGAAAAGCGAAATTATTAATACAAAAAGAATACTACAAATCATAAAATCGCTTTTAAAGCAAAATCTGAGGAATCCCAGCACTTAAGTGAAAGGGAATATCACCTAACAAGGAGAAAAAAACATTAAAATACTTCAAAAGTATTCTAAGCACATAATTATTTTTGATGATTATTAGTTTAATGATATCATCGGTATCATGTAAAAATTATGAAACTGTGTTTTAGGGCTGTTTTCATATAAATGTTTTCCTTAGGCTGTTTTTTGATACTATAATCAATACTTGAAGAGTGAAACAAGTTTTCAAAATTTTCTCGAAACTATATAGTTCTGCAGAATTGTGATATTAGCATGGTGCCGATAAAATGTGAATTGTAATTTTCATGAAACTGACTTTGGTTTTACGATTTTCCACAGGTTACTGGTTGGGGGCTGACTGAATCAGGGAAGTTCTCTGAAACCCTTAAAGAAGCTGTTCTACCAGTAGTATCACATGATAGATGTGAGAAAGCTTACAGAGAAGGCCTGCGGACTGTAACCGTAACTGAAAATATGTTCTGTGCTGGTTATGAGGCTGGCACTTCGGATACATGCAATGGAGATAGTGGAGGACCGTTCATGTTTTCATTTGGGTCTGCTAATGACAACCGTTGGTATCTGGAAGGACTGGTCAGTTGGGGCAGCGAGTCTGGATGCGGAAAGGCTTATCGTTACTCCGGCTTCACAAAAGTTAGCAGATTTGTATCCTGGATAAATATGTTAATTTGAGAATTCAGCATTCAGAAGCTACAGTAAAATGGAAAAATTTAGCAAAATAGCATACTTCGACTTGAAAAAATGGAAATAAGACTTTCAAAACCATTTGAGTCATCTTATTCATAATGTATTTCACAAATTTAGAACTAATAATTTCTGTTATGGTATCAAAATAGCCATTTTTTAAAAGAATGACATGTCTCTTTCTGTAGTATAAGCATATTTCATACACATCCATACACAGGGCCGATGGCAGAGCAGATGCAGTCAAAAGTCAGAACTTAGAAACAGCAAATTTTTTAGAATTTAGGAAACAGCCGAACGACATAAATTAGGAGTGCAATGGAAAGCAAAATACCTACCGTTGGCCATGCTGATAGATTACGGTTTTCACTTTGTCGTAAAGAAAACTAAATTATTCCCCAAGAAAATTTAATTTTTTTTTAAATTTTTCATTATGTGCAAAAATGTTTTGGAAAGTAAGATCTAGTATTTGCTTAAAAGTGGCAGAAGTATTTGGACAAAGCATAGCTGCATTGAAACCCAGAAATGTCTGTCACATTTCAAGAATTTTATTTTTTATATAGATTCTTGTATTCTGTTTTCAAGAATCTATATTTAGAATAAGATTTAAAAAAATACAGACTTGAATATTTTGTGGACGGTGCTTTCTGTAAACCTTGCTATAATTTCATAACAATTAGGTATTTTTATTTGAAACTTCAGGAAATGTCTGGCATTTGTAAGGATAAATGCATTTTCTGAATAAAAACGAAGTTCTTAAAAATTTTTGACGGTTCATAACGCATTTTACTTTTGTTATAATTTTTTTTTTACTAAGTAATTCATTTATATTTTTGGGCATATTGAAGAGTTGGAACATTCAGCATCAGTTGGGTTTTTAAAGATAAAACAATGAAAAGATGTATATATTTAGAGCAACAAGAAAAAATACACGTGTTACTTGAAATCATTTTAAAAAATTAAACTGAGCATTAATTTAATTAAAATTATTAATTTAAAAATTAAACTGAGTCGTACTGATGGATTGTGTGCATGGTGGTTGCGTGTTGAACTGTTAATGTAGATGACTCCAGTTTCTTGTACTCTATATCTATTTACAAAAAAATTTACAATTCTTCTGCCAAATGGCAGATGCATATTCTAACTTACAGGTTTTCTGTCACCCGGCTAATGCATTCCATTATATCATCTACCTCTTACACTATTAGTAGTGAGACGCCCAAGATCCTGGCGTGTCCGCTTCCTCCAAGTTTCGCAACGCAACTAAACTAATTTTATGCACGTTGCACCATCTTGCGAAACTACCACAATCGCAGGAAACTAAATATCCTTCTCTCCCATTGAATTAAATTCATATCAATACAATCTTCAAAGCATGCATACAGTTAAATGAAAAATTTAGAAATGGAATGATATACGAATTCTTCAGAAAAAAAAATGTATATTGACAAATATAAAAAATGGAATAATATATTATACTTACTAATCTTCTAATGAAACAGCTTATGGCTTACTGTATTCAGCAGTTATCTAAAAAGGTTAAACTGAAACAAACAAATAAAGTTATTAGTAGACTAATCAATAGAAAAATAATAAAATATGTGCAACGTAAATCTGGCACTTAAAAGATAGTGTTCTCCTTGATTGGAAAAAGCAAAGTTTGGTAGAATGTTCAAGGTCCCCGTGCACAGATTTTAGTCCTAACACTTGAACATTATTTTCTCCTACAGAAAAACTTTTATTGCCCATCGGAGATTCCAACGTGTAGAAGATATATTAGCTTCTTTGCTGAAAACTAAGTCCATTTTACATGAATTTTTCTGCTAGGCTATCTTCATTTGTTGCGCTATTATAGCTGGCACAGTTACTCTTTTTACCAGAGCCTACAAAAACTCTTGGAATATCTGCTGAACTAACAGCCATCTCTGCAATGGTGTCACGCTTATTTCAATCAACTTTTGTTCTAGAACAGTTATTAAAGGAGTCCGTATAATAAAGTGTCCAGAAATGAGAACTGTCAGATTATTGAGGTCACTGGAAACCGGTTATTATTGGCCCCGAGTTTAAACTTGCCTCAGTTTGTATAATTAAAGGTAAGAACTCTTTGTAAGTTAAAATTTGAATTCCAACACATTCCTTTCAATTCAGCTTCATGAATCTAACTGTGGATTGAATGTCATCTTTTTCTTTTCATTTGACAAATACTTTCCGGATAGAATAAATTGCTTCTTTGAGAATTTTTTATTTGAACGAATAATATTAGTTCCACAGTCACTTCTTATATCTTGGAAGTCTTCCTCTCCTCGAAGCATATCTTTTCAGAGCATCTAGGAATGCTTCACTAGATAAGTCGCTGACAAGCTCTAAATTGTTGGCCTTTGTAGCAAAACGATGAAAATACAGACGAAATATTTGATTGATTTTATTCATCTGCTCCTTTTCATTTTTACAGCAAATGGGCCAGAATAATTGACGTCGATCTATAAGAATGTTCTACTTGAAATCACCCTACTTACAGGTAGTTCTCACATCAATTGGGTAGATGTTGCTGCTCGTACTCTGCAGCATTCTATGCATTTTCAAAGGCACTTTTTAACTTCATTCTTTGTACTTATTATCCAGTATTTTTTCCTTTTTGCGGAATTCATTCAGCTCAGGAGATCTAAACAAATTCAAACTGGTTTTGCTAAGAATGATGATTATGTCTTTACTTAAATTTAAGGCTTTTGCTATACCTACTGTTTCAGAAATTAAATCGCTCATGTAAAGCTCTTACAAGATGCTGCATGATTCTTTATAATTTTGAAATGTAGTCTTATTGTAGCTATTAATAAATGAGCCAAGCACTTGACCCCGAACGAGACTCGACGATGCTGAAGAACTTGGAAGTCGTGATTGATGTGATCCAGATTGGGCACTTGAGCATTTATCTTTGTAAAATCATTTTTCTCGCTCACTACCGGGTAATGAGGCATGTAATAACCTCTTTTCACATTTTCATTTAAACACGTCTCTGCCTATTCAACTATTCCACCTTTCAGATATCCTTAATAATCTCATTCAATTTTATTATAGCTCTCTCTTTTTCTGAAACTTATTATCTAAACCTAGGAAACGCTGTTTCGCAATTTCATAATTATTTAAACCAGAGGTCGGCAACCTTGTAGCTGTGGTGTACCAAATCAGTGTTACCAATAGGATGCCGTAACAGTAGAAAATATTTGAAACAATTCGATTCTCGCTGCAGTGCATGCAAAATTAGGGAATAGAGGATAAGAATATTAGAGTTTTATTATATTATAAGGTATTTCTCCCACTTCCCTAGCGTACCTTCGTGGTGTAACGGTAGCATGCTGGGCGTATATTCCAGAGGGTCCGTGGTTCGATTTCCGGCGAAGGCGGTTAATTTTTCATCTCTCTGGCTTCCAAAAAATCCTAATGTCTCTACAAGTGGCGCCCGAACTAAAAGGGTTATGGATGAGGATTCTCCGCACCCAGGATTTGGCGACTAGGTCCCCGAAAACCCTAGTCACCCTTTAAAAAAGGGAGTATATAAGGTATTTCTCCCACTTCCCTAGCGTGCCTTCGTGGTGTAACGGTAGCATGCTGGGCCGGTTTTCCAGAGGTCCGTTGTTCGATTCCCGGCGAAGGCGGCTGTTAATTTTTCATCTCTCTGGCTTCCAAAAAATCCTAATGTCTCTATAATATATTAATTATGCATTAGTTCAAGATATTTATTAACATTAAAATAAACAACATAAAATATAGCTATTCTTTCAACATAAATAAAAAATTATGCATATATTGTGTATTATGATTTTTATCATGATTATGTATCTTTTAAACATATTTATAGAAATAAAAATAAACGACATATAAGTATTCCTTCAATATAGTTGAATAAAAAATTAAAATTTTTATGCGAACCTTGTCCCCATAGCGCTCCTACTTAATACCGTAATATCAGGAGTGTAATTTTTGTCTTTCAATTCGACTCATGATTCTAAATATTCAGTTGTTAAATAACTGCTTTAGACTCGAAATATTTTTCATATGAGAAAAGATTTGTTCACATAGATATGTGGAACTAAAAGCGGAAAGCAAAGCACATGCAGTTTCCGTCAAACAATTAAATATCTCCGGCACTAACATCCAGCAATTTAACATAGCTGCCGATTTATCGGTAGAGATATCTTCCAGATTTTTTCGTAAATCCATAAATTTTACTTTCATTAGTTCTAAAGATATTAGTTCAATGACTTCCATTTCAAAATTATCAACTTCTCTCCACTTAAAAGTTGACACATCGGGTGGATTATTAATGTGTCTGTTAAATCTTATTTGATTAGGAAGGAAAATAAGTCAAAAGTCGTTAATTCGGACACCCATAATCCGAAATGATCTATAATCTGGACCTCAAAGCTAAATACTTTCTGCGCGTGCACCGCGTTGACACATGCGCATAGGCGTTTACGCGTGCGCGTAAGACCTTTTACGACTGCGCATATGTGTGTGAGCAAGCGCAGAAAACGTTTTCGCGTGCGCGTTTTATGTATAACGGACGGTATAAGCTAAAATTATCTAATTATCTATTTCAGTTAATGTTGATGATTGCGTTGTTCCTTAATCTTCGAATTGGATTCGGTTACTTATTTTTTGCTGACTATAAGAGCAATTTATAAAAGTAAACTTGAACTTTCGATTATGTCAAATAGAATTTCCGATTCTGGAGCTCCCAAAGGATCGTACAAAACGAAAGTATGTTTCGATGTCCATCAAACAAAAAGTGGAATTGCTGCAAAAAATGGATAAAGACATGAAGAATGTGACAGAGAGGTTAGTGAAAACGAAAAAATTTCGATTGAGAAGTTAGTCGGTATTGTCGGCGCAGCAATTAACGGGGCTTGAACAGCGGAACTTTGTAACTGAACAAGAAATTATGTCTTTTATAGAATTAAAGAGAAAGTATTATCACATAAACGAAGCACTTAAACAACTGACATTGAAAGAAATGTAATAAAGTAAAATAAATATAAGCCTTTTTTTTTTTTTTTGTAAATTTTGATACACTTTAGATTAAAATTGTTCTTTATTTCATAAATTACGGTTTCATATTTTTAATTTTAGAATTTCTGCATGCCATCTTACGAGATTTAAACTGATGATCTATAATCCGGGAAAAACGATAATCCGGAATCGCCGAAGTCCCGACGAGTCCGGATTAACGACTTTTGACTGTATAAGCCCGGAAGCTTCAACGTCTTTGCATCTTTTTCAAAATTTCTCCTTAAGTGCTTCAGCGTAGGTTTGAAGTTCATCTTTGTCTCAGGCCGATGTATTTGCAAGCGCTTAACATTTGGGAAGTATTTATACGTACTAGTATTAATATCACGGGAAAATATATTTAATTTTGTAGCAAAGCCTTTCCAATATTCAAAATGCACTCTTTGGCTCTTCCTTGGAATCCTTAGTTCATTGAGGTTTACGTATATTAGTCATAAACATCAATTTTCATAACCATTCTTTATCATTTGATTCTGGGAAATATTGATTCTTTAATTCAGAAAATCTTTAATGTGTTCCGTGCATGACAGAAACTTATTCATGGCATTATCTCGACTAAACCAATGGACTTGTCTGTATAAGGGGAGACTAATGTATTTCCTTTCCATTTCTTCTAAAAGAGATTTAAATTGCCTGTGTACCAATGGAGAACGAGACACTATGAAACTAACTATTTTAACAACAGTTT